ACTTGCCATATATTTCTCTTAGGAAAGAATCAGAAGGAAAACGTTATTCAGAATGGAGCCATTTGCACCAATAACTGATATTTTCCTATATTCAAAATTTGCTTAAACACGTCGCAAAACACAAATAAATAAAAATGACCACAAAAATGATGTTAGTTCTCTGCTTTAGTTAAGCACCCACAATCCTGCTCTGCATCACTTTGACAAAATAAAACAAAAAAACACATAACCAATCTGCTCATCTTTACGTCCTGAGACAAAAATGCAAATAGCTGGAAATTAACACCAGTTGTTAATTCTGTCATGGTTTAATTGATCACATCGATGTGTTAAAGAATTACTTAGATCTGCCGATACCGATGTTTGTGCTGATATGTTGTGCATCCTGATAGAAAATGTAATCAAAATGAAAAACATTACCCCAGAGCTATAGGCTAGAGATTTTAGCTTTTTAGGGTCCTTTACAAAATGCAGAAATATCAGCAAACATTGGACCAAGAGACATGTGAGCTGGATCTAAATGTTAGAAATTGACCGCTTTAGTTGGTAGATGAAAATATATTTCAGAACATAAAATCTCCCCAGAGCAGAATTCACTGACATGATGCTTTGAGCCAACGCTGCTGATAAGCAGATTTATTTTTATGTTTCTTCCAATTTCACAGAATAAAATCTAATCTATTAGATTTTATTCTGTCTATATCTTTAAATCATTTTTTATTGGATTATTATATTTGCTGAATTTTGTTTAGTTCGGCCAATAAATTTTATTGAAGGGCCTATACAACATACCTATTGCAGATGTGACATCTAGCTCACTCATTCCAGGTCAAAAAAATAATAACTTGAAGTGTTGATCAAATTAATTCCAGCTTTTACTTTGCTTTTGTATGCACTGGGCATCAATTACAGTGAAGACTATTTCGCAGCGTAGGATTTTCCTATTGGTAAAGCAATATGTTGCAGAGGGGCTGCAAAGGAAAACAGATCTAATGGAACAAATATATCAGTCAGGAGAAGAGAACAAGTTCCTTAGCATTGATAGAGAGGCAATGATTAAAGAATGTATGGGAAAATAGAAATAATACTAAAACTGGATGCTTCTCAGAAATAAATAAGAATAAAATGAAACCAATCGAGCTGCAGGATTTTTAGGCAAGAGCAGGTTTGTTTCCACATGCAACAATCATGCCCCTCATGAAAGCCTGTAGAAGGAGGCTTTATGGTCCAATGATGAACTTGAACTTCATCAACATTACATCCCAGTTCAGTTTTGACCCAAAACATGCAGGCATCTCCTAAAGGCTGCAGAGGAACCTCAATGAAAACAAAGTATGTGGCTTAACCCTGAGAAACTGAACATTATGAGATGAACCAGCCAGAGAGGAGAGCAGCCACTGATAGAAAACTCCTACTTAAAAAACTAAATAATTTCCAGTGTAGTCCTGTTTCTCTGAATGTGACTGGCTGGATGTGCTCCTTTCATCCTCTGACAAGGGAGCTGGCTCAGAGCTCGTATGCCTAGCTGTAGGTTTCCTGGATAGGGCCGCCATTTACAGTTGCTTTTTGTATCTCTGCTTCTGTGTCCTTGAACCCCAGTCGGCCTCAGCAGATGGCCGCTCACACTGAGCCTGGTTCTGCTGGAGGTTTCTTCCTGTTAAAGGGAGTTTTCCTCTCCACTGTCGCTACAAGCATGCTTAGTGTGAGGGATTGCATTTGAGTCGATGCAATAAACTGGTTTCCCATAAATAGACAACTTTGTATCAATTTGACTGTATGATCTGGCTGAGCTGTAAAGTGCCTTGAGATAACTTGTGTTGTGAATTGGCGCTATAAAAATAAACTAAATTGAATAATAAATGGACCTAAAGTCAAACATTAAAAGGAAAAGACAAAGTGTAAAGTTGTAGTCTTGCTTTATTAGTGAATAATTAATACTAAATATATACATTATGCGCTTAAACAAAAATAAAACACCTCTTAAAAAAACAATAAAAACAAACGTTTATAAAGTGACATTATGTGTAAGTCAAATGCATAATGATAATACTGCATGACAGATGGAAGAACAAACAGCAGAAGTTCATTGAGATTTGTTCTTCACTGCAGGTTTCAGCTTATCAAGTTCTCAAAGATTCATCCGATTTCTTCAGACTGCAGCAGTTTTTCAAACTGAAGCCGTCGATGCAAACATTCCTCAGGTTACAATCCTTCAGAGCAATCACAGGGAAGCAGGTTGTGGTCAAACTGTGCATCCTTCAAATGACCAGTAGCTTCTTATGTAACTTGAAATATGCAGGATGTTCCTTCATTTAACCACAACAGTGCATTTAAACATTTTCCTTTAAAAGTGAAAAAAACAACAACAACAACCTTGGATTAAGCTAATGAGAACTGAGTTAAATCAAAGTTTTACTACAGTCTTGAACATTTAGTCAATAAAACCTCTCCATCATGTAATCCAGGGCTTTGTTAGCTGATCCAATACTGAACAACAGACATACAGGCAGTCGATAAATAGCTGCCGTCTAGACCCAAAGCGCACTTTGTGGACAGGCTGGGACACATTTGCATACTTCTACAAATCAATTTGGAAATCCTTCATAACTGTGGTTTTGCAGAAAGCATTTTAAAAGCACAGAGTAACTAATAATGAGAAGACACTATCCTGCAGCAGGAGAACAGTCTTTCCACTCAGTGGTTAGATCCTGTCAGCAATCATCACTGAGACCTTGAACAAACAATTTCAAGGAATAAAGATACAGGCTCAAATACCAACATTCCTTGTTATACCACCAGACAGGTGAATACTGAAGTGCATTAAATAATTTAAGCAGTTAAAATAACATTTAGTTTTTATATAATATTACAATTTTTAACATGAATACATGTGCATATTCTTAAGTGATTATAAGGACAATGTTTGTGTGTTTGAAGACAACAGGATGGAAACCAAGGAGTGTTTTAATGTCCTCCAACATGCTCTTGTTTCTTAACTGTCAGTAAATGTCAGCAGCTCTCATTACTTTTTTCAATGTTGAGCGCAAAATCCTTGTGTAGCCACACTGCGGCCCTTAGCAGTTTCCACCGATAGGTCAAACTCAGCCCTGGAGAGAAACCCTGGCAGTGACTGCTGATCATTTCCTCCAGGGGGCGCCCTTTTACAGTCCAGGATGCTGATAACATCATGCCTTGGCAGAGCAGCTCCTCTTTCAGTAAGAATACCTCCAAGTTATTCTTCAGTCAAGGTATTTTGATGCAGTTTTGCTGGCAACTATTTATCCTGTGCAGAAGCTCGCTGTTTATTTGATATGGCGGCCCCTGGGCCGGGCCCCAGGGCTGGAGAAGGAGCCAAACTGTCTCCCATGGCTCCTCCAGCGCTGCCGCAGGACAAAGTCGTAGTTGGCCGAAGTGCACATAGCGTAGAATACATTGGCGTTGTCAGGTATGTGAAGCTCTGAGGAAGACCAAAACAACCATGAGGTGCTGCTCACTGCATTCGTTGGAGGCTGGGTTTTATATATATATATATATTTTTTTTGGCAGCAATGATAAAAATAAACGATGAAAACAAATCTACGGTTTTCAAATATTTAATAGCAATTAACTTAACACTGTAAAAGTTGAACATCTTAGAAGGGTAGAATTTTTTTATACTCTGACATTAAAAACCAACTAAACAGAAATGGCCTCTGGGTCACTGTAAAATATTCAGACTGACTGGACTGGCAGTGAAATAGAGATATTTACCTCTTCCATGGTTAAGTAACTGGTAAAGACCAAAGTCGCTGCTCCTGAAGTCCTCCATGTTGTGCTTCTCCAGAGCTCTCTGAATGACCTGCGGGGTGTGGTCCTGGCTAGTCAGCTGCAGAGGAAACAGATATTATTGAATAAAGAATCCTTATATATTATCCATATAGGAACTTGACTGTTATGATAGCTGACTTGTAACTAAAATTGAATAAATAGTCAATTAAATTTTTTATTTTCCTTCTGTGAACACTTCTTTAATGGAAATAGTAAAAATGCAAAAGACAATAATTATAACCTTAAATTCATCATGAATAAAAGGGGTGTCCAGATACAACTTTTTTCTTTTTCGATACTTTGAGAATAGGCAGACACTGATTTTGACCTGATATGATTTTAACACCAATCATAACAGCTTTCATTACTTTTCCTTATAAGGTAGAATGTTAGAAAAGGCTTGATCAAGTATTATCACTAAAACAGGGAACAAAAGTCAACAACAAAAGGTATTATCTAGTATTATTTAATATTATTAAATATTAGATGCCAGCCGATATAATCCAGTATTAGTCTTTAGGCTCATTTCGGACTGATACCCGTATTAATATTGGATTGGGACACCTCTAATAAATAATTAGTCATTCCTTATTCATCTAAGCAGAAACTACCAGAAAATTACAGCAATGAAAACTGGGATTTTTCTTTTTGGCAAACATGGGTTAACAAAAATATAGGAAAAAAAAAATATATATTTCAATCAGTGGTGGCTGGCCAATAGTAGGCGCTAGGCGGCTGCTCCAGCCAACCCAAAGACCCTGAGCATAATAAAATATACATTTTTTTAATAATTAAATTCTAAATTAACATTTAAAATATTTCGAAATGTATCAATATATATTTTTACATGTGCAAGATATATCTTTAATGAGTAAAGCGTCATTTCATTTTTCGTCAGATTGGTGAAGTATTTCCGCCCTAGGGCGCAAAATTGTTTCTCGTTAAAAGTTGTACATGCGCAGTAGCTCCTCTGCAATAAACTAAAGTTTAGGAGAGCTCGGGGTGCAGCTAATCGGTGACCTGAGATGACAGGAAGTGTATTTGCTCTCCACCTCCCGCCACAGAGCAGACATTATGCGGGTGATTGACAGGTCAAGTCACGGGAGTAAGAGACACATTGGAGTGAGAGAGAAAGGAAAAAGTGGTGCAAGAAACGTCTATTTCCAGGACCTGGTTAGAAGGCTTGGCTAACTGCATGTAGCGAGGCTAACGCTTTAACCTGCTTTCCCTGCCTCCTTTTTCAATTGCCAGGATCTGACTCAGCATGGATAAAGACAGGTAGGACTGATTTAAAGCACTTAGTATAAAAGGCATAGAAGCATGAACAATCTGGGATTCACATGGGAAATAATATAATATACTGTACTTTTTCTAGATGTTTGTTAATTTGAATAGTTGCTCTTAAATAAACACATTCTCAGAAAATAAATAGCTTTTACATGTAAAAAAAAAAAAAAAAAAGTTGGCTAAAGCTTCATTATTAGTAACTAGTCAGTTTTTTTAGTTTTGTGACACAATATTGGACCACGAAAAACACAGATTTCCCTTCACAAAGCCTCAGAAGTGCAAAATTTATGTACAAACAGTAATCCTGTATATGAAATCATGTTTCATTTTCATAAAGTGTTTTTTTGTTGCTGCATTCATATAAATACACTGGTGTGATAGACTGGTATACGTTTGTTTGGTTTTTGGTATAGGTCTATTTTGAATTTATAGCCCCGCCTGGAGGAAACTCCACCAGCTTCCACTGATTTCAATGATTTGATCTATTTAGTTTTTAAACAACCCTTGAATTCAGAAGTGCTTATAATTAGAGCCATGACAAAATAAACAAAAGCAAAGACACCTCTTTCAAAAATCATTTAGAAGAAATTTTTTTTGAATGAAGAGCAAAACCAAGTGAGCAGCTCTCTATCCTCCCAGTAAAACAGCTTTCATCTTGACTGTGTCAGTGGATCGTCAGTAGTGTAGACAACATACCAGAATGCTCTTGTATATGTTTCCATTGCTGACACACTCCACCGTGACCCTGATGATACAGGAGTCTGCGATCTGTTTGTTGTAGAGGGGGAGTGTCCCCTGAGGAGAACAGGTGGATTGCGATGAATCGGGGCTTAGCGTCAGAGAAGGCGAGCTGAGGTCCGGGTGCGAGGAGCTGCAGGATGAGCCAGAGAGGCTCGGTGAGGATGAGGAGGACATAGAGAAGTCCTCCGCCACATTGTGAAGAGAACCTGGGAGAGACTGGAGGGAAAGGAGAGAAGAAAACACAAATTTCTTTACACAATCTGACTCCACGTATCAAAAAAAAAAAAAAAAACTGACAGGTAGCTAATTTCTTTACCTTGAGTTTGAGCCTGAAGGGGGAAGGCTGAGGGATGGAGAGGTCCTCCAGGTCTGAACCACTGGAACCAGATGATGAAACACTAATCTGGTCAGAGTGGGATGTTCGCAACCTGCACATACAGATAAATACATAATTCAGACAACATTTTGGCAGCTAGGTGCTAAACTCACTTTTGAATGATGATCTTTTAAACTTACGAGGCGAGCTTAGTAGCCAGTAGACGCCCACTCCTGGAGTTGGGAGAGTTGGGGCAAGGATCAACAGGAGGCTCCAGTTCACGAGACAGCTCATAGCTATGAGATAATAAAAACATTATGGATCATATGAGAAATTGCAGAGTTTGGTGAAACCGTTCATCTCTACCGGTTTATTTAGTTGGCTTTACCTCTCCTGGTCTGTGAGCAGAGTTTGAGCCTGGAGCCAGGCTGTGATGCAAGAGTTTACAGAGAGACGATAATGGGAGCAGAAACCCTGCAGCTGTTTAATCTGTGAGAGGATCTCATACTCCTAATGGGAAATAAGAAAAAAATTTTAAAAAACATATTAATGAAAGAAAACATCAAATAATTTACAAAGGTTTCCTATACATGTTTTATCAGAAAAACAGCAAACGCTTGCAGAATCAAAGTTGGGAGATTCTGGGACAGTCCCACGGTGTCCTGCAGGTTTTAGATTAAAATGTGCCCCAACACATCTGAGGCAAATACTTAAATATCTTCTCAGTAATTAGAAATTTTGAGAATCTCTGTTAAACACCTATTCATTTACAATAGGAGTGTTGAATCAAAGAAAATAAAAATCTAAAACATGCAGGACACTGGTCCAGAAGGACTGGAACAGAACCACAGCTTTACATTATATTAAAAAGCAGTTGTTCTTTTAAAGCGGAACAAGGTGGCAGTACATACCCGTCTACGTTTCTCAAAGTTGATGAGGCAACCCTGTAAATAATGAAGAAAAAAAAAAGAAGTTTAAACGAGGATGAAACAGCCCTGAACAAAAAGGATCATTGAGGAGAAAAAGATGAAGAGCCGACCTCCACAGTGTCAGTCAGCGCCGTGTCCAACATGGTGAGGACCGTCAGGTACGTTCCCAGGTACGGCACGATACCACAGCTCAAGCTCTGAGGAAAAAGTAACAATAACATGTGATATGCACATAATAAGAGTAAAAAGTCTTTCCTTTTCTTTACCAAATCTCATTTCAAACTAAATCTAAACATTAACCGTGCTCTAATTCATTACCTAAAAATGAAAAGTCACATTTTCTCCATTTAAGAAAGATTGAATATGGATTTAAATACAATTCTTCAAACTGAACAAACTGCACCAAGTAAAATATTAAATGTGGAAAGCACTTTTTACTGGTTTTATAATTCTTTGCATAAAAGGTGTGAACAACAGAGAAGAAGGGCAAAAAGATTTCCCCCTTTTCAGCCTAACGAAGAAGAAGAGGGAACTTTAAATAACCCAATAAGCTTAAGGGAACTGGAACTGATGATTCAGGGGGAGAATTAAAGGCTAATGCTTCACATTTCTTTAGCAGCAGAAACATTTATTCTATCTTGGTGGTCAAAACTGAAACTAGGGAAGCGACAGATGATTTCAAAGCAAATTGCTGGATTTCCTATAACCGTTTAGTCCAGACTGAGCCATTCTTCACAGTTTTACATGCTGCTGCTTCCATAGTGTCTACCATCTTGCAGAGAGAAAAGGACAAGACTCGTGTAAGAACTTGTGAATCAAACTGCGGGCATTAAAAAGAGGCAACAACAAGTGATTATGTTATATAATTATTTCCCTTCAGGGCTGAGCAGCGAGCTGCGGGTGTAGGAAGGGTGGAGTTTAGCTTTATCCATTGTCTGGTTGCAGAGGACACTAAGTTTTTGTTTGTTATTATTCGCAAAAACTAGACTACCAGACTGTAGAGTCACTGATTACACATTTATATCTGCTGCTGCTAACAGGAAATCTAGATTAGTAATGTAAAACATCTATAGGAATAAGAGGTGCATTGTCCAGCTGTGTAGCCTACAAATAAAAGGTCCTGTTGTGCGGAAGAAAACAGCAAATTCTCAGAAATGTCTGTTTACCCATGCAAAGTTGTGCATATAAAGAAAACATGTATGTGGGCTGATACATGCATGCAACAAGAGGTCTACAATGTTAACATTAACAGCTCTGCCTTCTAAGGCATTGTCTGCACGGAGATTGTGCATGAAACTCCTCAAGCCAGAAAGTTTCACCCAATTCCTTCCTGTTGCACACTTGTTGACACAATGCTGTTTCTCGATACTCTTTTGTTCCTCTCCTCTCACCCAGACCAGCTGGGACTGGTTTTACTGGAAGTTTCTTTTGCCTTTTAACAGGATTCCTTCAACTAACTCTGATGGATCTCAAACTTTTTATTATTATAATAATTATAATATCTTGAGCTGGTTAGAAAAATTGATTTGTATGGAAAGACAAAATGAGCAAATCTAATGAAAAGACACACTCGTCATTAGGGCAATAAAAGTTCATTGTTCCAACATAAAATTAAACAAATTGGAAATTATTTAATTTGGAAGACTATTGAATAAAAAGAAAATGAAAATAAATAATAATTAAAGGCCTGGTTGACAAGATGCTGCCCTGCAGAAAAAAAAAGGAGCTGCAAAAGAACAATGACTTTTTTTTAAATAAACACGGCATTGAGTTTACAGTTTTATTCAACAATCAGAATACAGATTTATTTTATCTTCACAGCCTATACTTTCAGAGTGAAATGGGACAGAAGGAAAGGCTCATACAAATACTCCACGGTGTGGACTTAATAATGCCTGTAATAAATATTTGATGATTAGAACAAATGAGCTCTTATTCTGAAGGGGTAAAACAGCTGAGAAGCTGTGGCAGTATTTTTATTTCTCTACAGTTTTAGATAACGCATACTTATGTTATTAGAAAAAATAGACACAAACAAAGAAGTGGTGACCTGAATCAGACATGTTTAATCATAATCTGATAGCAGATTATGCTGCAAACACTTTTCGGTGCAGATGTCTTAATTGAGAGAATGAAAAGCAAAGTTGGATTAACTGATTAGCATTTTCAGTATCAGTACCTTTTCTAGTGACCATCAAATTGGTGGTTACTTATTGGAATTGCCGTTATTTTGCTACCACGTATTGGCAAAATTATCTTATTTTTGTTGCATTACAGGAGTCACATTAACCAGGCGTTACTATTGGCAAACAAAAAGAAGATGATGAGAGAAAGTAAGGGGAGGATGATGACCATGCATGTTCTATAATGAACATGCCTTGTGAACTAAAATAATTCATGTGTAATTGCCTCTGCAAGGGAAGTTATGCTTTTAAGAGGCAGAGTTTGTCCGTCTGTCTACAGGATAAGTTATGTTGTGGACGTCACAATATGTCGGGGGAAATGATCTGCGCTCTTCAGTTGCTTTTTAGTTGTAAATGCATTTCCTATTTAATAAAAGCATATAAAAAGCAAGTAAAAGCAAAGCAGTGAGGAAAATGATTTTTCTTGGCATTAGCAGACTTTTGACAAATTTTGCGTAGACATTTCATAAAAAGGCAGCTAGTGTTTTTTTATTTAATCAGAGGTGTAGGAAGCTATTTGAAAGGAAAATGTTGTACAACACATGGCAGCATGTCTGAATTTCATTGAGACTGCAGAGACAAGAGAGAGAGTAAAAGTTGTAACAGATAACAGGAAGGCTAAGGTGTTATGTATTTTTGAACTATTGCTGCCTTTAGAAAAAGCTAAGATAGGGATCTGCTTTTCCACGAGAATACACACAGAGACCGCCCCCTTCCTCATGCTATGTTCAATTGCATGACGGAAATATAAGATCCTAAAGACGGTTGAAATATCAACTCAAACGGTTTTAAAACCTTTGGAAAACCCTGTTCTGTGGTGACACCTCTCAAACATGTGGCTTTATCTTGATTCTTTTTGAGAAATGAATAATCTTTACTTGCAGTGGGAAGACTACAGTTAAGTCTTTTCACTGTTATATTTATATTATTATATATTTTGTTTAAAAAACAAAAAAAAAACAAACCAGTATCAGCCAAAAATCAGATAATCATCTGATTTTTGCACATCTGATTAATGTTTTATAAAAAAAAAAAACAGAGTCCGGAAATTGGCAACATCATTGTAATCACTGCTTCTCTACCTTTTATAATTACTAGAGATGGCCATTTGTTTTTCCACCATTTCAGAGAAATGGGGCAGAAAATGAAAAGCCCAACTAAAGGTGTCAGCCAAAAAATAATCAGCTGAGGGGGTTGCGCAATAAACTACCATCTTGGTAAGGCCTCATTTCCCTTTATAATGTCAGATTTGGGACTTTCTGCTCCAGTTAGTTGCACATTTACTTCATAAGAGGTGTTTATGAAGGGTTATTACAGTTAGACTTTATCGTGTTCATCATCATAATCATCTTTCTGCTGTTATTCACCCACACAGCTAAAGGGAAAATAGATTAATTTAAACAATATGCAAGGTTTTTGTTTTTATCATTGCATCAACTTAATATTTACTGCTTCAATGTTGTACGTATCTAACTGTAATGAAGGTGGAAAAATAATTTTTACCTCAACCAGAACCTCTCTGTTGGTGAGGACACAGTTCTCATCAGGAAACGTCTCACACAGGTGATCAAAGACTGTCATACTTTCCCTGAAAGAAATATTTAATGAAATTGTGCTTTTCTTTTAATTTGCGGATTATTTTCTAATTCTAAATTTTTAAGAGTCATGATCCTAGACTTTCTGAGAGTGTGAACACACCTGCTGACAGCAGCCCACGTCTTTTTGAGTCGATAAACAGCGTTGGACTGCAGAGCAGAGAGGATGGCTTTCAAAGAGGAGAAGTTCTTTAACCGCCTGCACTCCTGTGGACAAACACAGTGCTGTTTAGCCTGCAGGTCAAGATAAAAAAAAGAAATAAAAAATTCTATTTCATGGTGCAGATTTGTTTGGATGCTGACCTGTGCGACGGTGATCCACCACTCGATGATGTGCGCCCTGTGAACCGGGCCAAAACGTGAGCAGTGAGGGGAGCCGGGGGTCGAAGACGGGTACAGGAAGGTAGAGGTTGAAGATGGGGATGAGAAGGGGGAGGAAAGGGATGGGCTTGGTGAGGACGGGCAGAGGAGGGAAGTGATTACACAGTTGGTGACGGCGTTAAACTGGCAAATGGTGGCTCGGACCGTCGGCGCCAGATTCCGGTTTTGCTTCTTGTCACGCTGGGACCAGATGCAGCCTAGGCAGTGGAAGGGCTCCACCTTCACAAACAGTTCCTGCAGGATAGTTGGGTAAATAAGAGAAGTTATAAAGAGATGAATCCAACATTTAAACTCTCATAAAAGTGCAAAAGTGACCTACAGCATCCAGTCTGGTGAGCTGCTCTGCTACGTCTACAGCAGGGAAGTCCATAAAGTTTGGTTTGTCTTGTTTAGAAGTCAATTCTTCATCACTCTGAGGACTGCACTGCTGTGATTCCATTTGGTTTTCAGACACAGAGCGGCTGGAATCTGTCAAAACATAAGATGGATGGTTTGAGGACAGAGAGTTATTCCTTCCACGTCATCTCTCTCCCTTTTTCTTTACCATACAAACTAAACTTTACTTATTAGGGATTTGTGTTCTAGTTCAAAACAAAGTTGGACAAATGACTAAAGTGAAACAAATAATGCAATTGTATTCACTTCCCTTTCACTTTAGGAGTCATAAATAAAAAATTCCCTTAAAAAGTTTCACAAAAGTCTTATATGGAGACACAAACATGTGGGAAAACTGATTCAAACCACATTAGACCGATTAATTCGACATGAAAACCTGTTTATGTGAAGAAAGGCTGCAAAGCACATTCTATTAACCAACCCACACCACGGTGAAACCTGGTGATGACAGCGTTATGCTCTGGGCCCTCTATTTAGCAGGAAGGAAAAAGGGATTTATAGGTGATGGGAAGATGAGAGGAAGTTACATAACGTGTACCCTTAAAGTAACCTGAGAGACTAAGGGGGAGATAACCTTCAAGCAACATACCAACCCTAAAAATCTAATATTAGGGCAAAATGCAGTAAAATACCATAAAAATTGTCACTGTAAGTGACAAAATAAAACAAAATAGACTTTAACAGATACATCTGCAACCACTTCTTACCATGACTTAACATAAGAGCTGATATGATGCAAAAACTGCATTCATGTTTTCAATCTTCCAAATGTATCAATCACTTATTCCTTACACTGAGCTTAACAATTGCATATGCTGTCATTTCCTAATTTAACGCTTTAAACATAGTTAAAACTGACCAGTTTAAAAAGAATTTTAAATTCCTAAAAACAGCAAACATTCAACCTAAAGAGGACTTCAATCACTCCTCCTGTACCTTGTGCCTGTAGTCTTTTGAGCAAAGCTTCAGCAGTCTGAAACAAACGCCTGAAGCAAAGGCGACGGCGTAGGTGGGAACACAGGAGGCGGAGGGCCGGGTACTGAGGAGGTTCCTGGAAGTCGCTGCTGTATTCCTCAAGCCAAAGCCGGACCACCGGGAGCGCAGGACTATGGAGCAGCAGGGGAAGTTAGTAAATGCATAAAGCTGAGAAGATGATCATAATTGCTTGTTGTGCAGATGTGCAAAGCATGAACTTCTACCACAGCTGGGACCAAGCTCACCTGTGCAGGCTGACAGCATTATCCAGGTTGGAGAGGGATTCATCTCTAAAGGAAAAGGGAAATAGCACTACTTATCATCTGAACTATAAATCAAAACATTAAGTGGTGACAGAAATCATCCTGTAAAGAACAGACACCCCTGCAGCTGGACGTCCCAACTGTTCATCCCCTGGAAATGTCCTGCAACACTTTTCCTCTCACAGTGAGATGGAGGCCTTGGTACAGAGCGTAAAGAGAGACACGCCTGCCTTCCTCTGGGACTAACTACCCCATTGTAAAACACACAAGCAGTAAAACAAAAGAAGGGCTGTGTTGTGTCTGCTTCACAGGAACTCGGTTGCAGTTTTACAACAAGGTCTTGATGTTTATGGCTTTGATATGGTTCTAAAGCTATCTACAACTAGCAGGAGAAATTAAGCAACGCTCACCCTGGGAGACATCGATAAGCTTCAATAATAAGCTTCTAGCATAGTTATAGTATTTATTCAAGTTCTCCTAAAAAAAAACTGACGGGATTTCCAATCCTTGAGCAGAGTTGTAAATATATTTAATATTATTTGACAGACAGATGGATCAAAACCACTGCAGATATCTGTTTGCAATCATCTCTCAATTGAAAAAAATAATAATACTAGAAGTCTCAAATTATCTTCACAGATCACTTGGTTTTATTAAACATTTTTGCACCTGAAACTAAAAACCTCTGCACCCAAAGTCAAGCAGATTATCAGGAGTCCTGAGTGCTTGCTCTTTGTTTTTAAAAGCAGCTTTTCTAACTAAATTCATAGTCATTGAGTCAAAAGAAGTTATTTTTCGTGATATCAGTTCACTGCCCTAAAAATCTGTTCATATGAAACCCGAGCCCTAACTTTCGTGCCTGAGAGGAGTGTATGTAACCTTTTCAATGGCTTAACACCTGCAGGGCAGTTGTATCATATGATGAGAGCGATAGAAATGGCACATCCTGCATAAAATGCTGTTGGGATAACACCGTTTCCAGTTTTTGCCCTGACCTCTTCCACTGAAGCTTGCAGGAAACCTGCCGCCACCAACACAGCTCCCATGAGGGCGGCTGTTTGACGGAAAATAAAATACATCAGCGCTCTAATTAACGCAGGCAGCTGTCTGAGGCCTCAGCAGCAAAGGTCAGGGCCTTTCTGAGAGGCTTCAGAACATGCTGTATCCAAGCATGAAGCATTCTTTCTAAAATACGCCTGCAGGTATTTCCTGGGTGAAATCAAAGCAGGTACACTGCTGGGCGTGGAGGGTGTGGTCGTGAAGCAGGCCCATGCAACAAAGCTCAGGCTGGCTTTGTTTAGCTTATGACAACAAACGCAGCCATAGAAACCAGCCCCTCGTCATCAAAGATCTGTTCTGAGAACAGCTGATGAGAAGCGAGGAAGCTGTGAAACTGCCATCTGTGAAGAGAACAGACTGGCACATCTGGGCCGTCATAAACCCTTCTGACGCATATGCTGAACTCACATCTGATGCCAGTGACGGCTTTCCTAAAAAGTAGGACATGCTGGAAAAATAAATCAATGTCAGAAAAGTTTAAATGCAAATATTAGAGCATGCATATCTGCGTAGTAGGTTTAGATAACAGGAGGTGCTAAAATAAAGTGAATGACTGACTTCTCTTTTTTCCAAATAAAGAGATTTTCCTGCAAATTTAAATATATTTTAAACAATAAAACATAATCAACTTATGTAATCAAGACTTTAAGGCTGATAGATAATGGAGACTCGGAAAAACTGGAAAATAATGGAGGACTGTGAGACAGGGAAGGGAGGACAGGGTTGGACACAATGGCAGAAGGACATGCGGACATATAGATTTCCTCATGCAGACTGAATGTTTTCTGTTAAACAGATCATTCTAAATCCAGCAACAACAATGAGCTCATATGGTGGCAGAGCCAGCAGCTGACTGGGCCCTCATGATTTCTGTTAACACTCGTCCCAGTTGGGTAAAAACACTCGCACTCACCTCTGAAACAGCAGTTCTATGAAGGAGCTAGCGGAGGTGAAGGCCCTGTATGTGGACAGGAACACATGGATGAAGTCGGGCTCCCGGCGTTCTGGGTCCAACAGGTGGGAGACCAGCCGCTCCAGGGTGGCGGCCTTTAGCCTGCGAACCTTCACAGTGTGGTACTGGACGCCGCCAAAGGCCGGAGAGAAATCAGGGGAGCCCGAGCCCGACAGGGCAGGCTCCCGTCGTAGGGTGATACCAAAAATGGCCCCGTCCTCCTCTTCCTCCCCCCATTCCTGCACCGGTTCCTGCAGGGAAAACAAAACTAGTTTAAGCCAGAACAGCTTGGCTGATTCCAGAAAGAAAAATCACAGAACTTTTAAACAACATTTGCACTATATATAAAAAAAAACAAACAAACATTTATCTACACGTAAGGATGCTTTAAACTGTACTTAAATTAAGTTCATGTGAAACTGGACTCAGATGGTTCTCATTCTCGACATTCTGTGACGCAGCCTTCACATACCGTGTTGGAGTAAACTAGCATAATAAACCAGTGCCATCAGGTTAAAAGTATTCATTGACGCAACTGTTTGGGTTCCCCAACATATGACAGAATTTGCATAATAACATAGTTTAACGAGCATTTTTCCCTTGGCTGCTTATTCTCACACGATACTGTAAAGAGAAGGTAAATATCACTGACAAAGGCTATGAGAAGGCTGCCAAGCATAACTTTTGCCCACTTATCGAAACTATTATTAAATCAAAGATTTACAATCAAAAAGTGTGTATTTTTGTTGTTTTAAATTGATTTTTTTTTTTACATAAACTCAATATATTATACCATCAACAAAGCATGGTGGTGGCAGAATTATGCTATGGGATTGGCTGATAAATAGATGGAAATCTATGTCTTTCCTGTCTTTCTATAACCTCAAGTCTTCCTTCTCCAGCAATGTTTGTTTGACTCCAACTGAGGAAACAAACTTGATGAGACTCTGACATCCCTGTTTAGAGATTTTTAAAGACTTGAGGTGAAGGATCGCCTTCTAGGAGTACAGCAACCCTACAATGCTCTGCTTTGTGTTGGTTAAGCAAATAAAATACAAACAAAAAAAAAAAAAACATGAAATTCTCTGGAAAGAGATTCATTCCTCATTTTATATATTTTTTTATTTTGTAAAACTCCCTGCATAATCATAATAAAGCAATTTATATGCATGAAACAAGCGGAACACTATGGCAATAATACTGCTCCATTTGTAAAAGTAAAATCTGTTGGGCTCTTTTTGGCATCAAGACAATTATTCTTATTGCCACATCGCCAGACTGGACACTGTTAAAAAAAAAAGAAAAAGAAAGAGAGAGACATTCATTCCTATGTCTACTGTAGTAAAAATTGTTTTCCTTTTTCTTAAGTTTATAAGTAATTAATAATGTATATATGCATTTGCAACTATCTTAGATTTACAAAAGGCTTCTAACACTAAATAAGGCATAATGATCACTGTCAGATGCAGTTTTTTTCAATAGTTTTTACTTTCCTGATGAGCACAGCCTGGTACCATGTTGCAGCATGCAGTTCTATTTTGGCACACATGTAACAGAGAACCACAGAGATCTCAGGGATCAGAGCGTTAAACAGGCTGCTGCACTGATTTATGAGCCACTGCAGTAAATGATGAAGCAACCTGCGCAAGAAGTCACAAAAGACAACAAACAAATGCTTTGATGATGTTAAAATAAAGCAATAGTTAAACTAACATACCATGGATAACTGCCATTTCCCCATGTTTCCCAGACGATGGAGCGAAATTAATCCTTTTTAGTTTGGTTTCTGAGTTACAATATAAAAAAACGCGTAGTTAGGAAAAAAGCAGCTTCCTCCACATGTGGACCCGACTTTGCTGTAAATGTGAAGCGTCCATTATTGACAACGAACCGATAAATCTAGGCAGCAGCGCGGAGCAGAGCGTTTAGAAACATAGAGAGGCTCTGAGGAACAGGGCGGTGTGGAAGCGACAGGAACTACAGGGGGGGATGATGTGGGCGGGGCTACTGAACAGGTGTGGGCGGGGCCAAGTGAGAATGATCCGGAGGATGCTAAAAGAGGACAAATGAAGTGATCAGTTTTAAAATGAAGCTGATCTTTAGGGCTATCATCTAGTTGTAGGACATATATTACCAGCACTATATTGGCAAAACACAGACAGACACAGAAATGAAGCCGAGTGCATTTTGGTGCAGTCTGGTGGGACCAACAATACACACTAAGGTGTCATAAAAATACTAACTATAAGAGTACAAAATCCACTCAACACATACAACTATTTAACAGGGACGGAGCTAGATGGGGGGCCAGGGGTGGCCGTGGCCACCCTTAGCCAATCATTGGCCCCTCCTGTGGCCGCCCATACCATTTTTGCCTCTCAAGTAGAATATTCAAAACAGCTTAATTTTATATATATTAATTACTTGACAACAAAAACACTGTGGTTAATTATGCACATCAATATACCAACATAAAAGATGATAAATACAGAATTCATGCTCTTTTCAGAACTATATTTTGTGTTCTATGCCGTAAAGAGAAAATTATGTGTCTCTGCAAGTCATCTAAGAGTCTTCAGTGAAATACTGTAAATAACTATTTTAATAAAAACCTATTAAATCATCAATTTATGTAGATATTAGTACTTGTAAATATCAATTTATTGCAGAATGATATTGATAAATGTAGGTAAGTAACGAAGATGTTCGCGTTCGCTCCATAACTCAAACCTGAAAGAATTTTTTCCAATATACCTTTTATCTAGACGGATGTTTGAATATATGACTCTATTTGGTAGCAAAGGCTGTAGGAAATTATAGTTAGTCTTTATTTAGAAATATGGATGTTGTGCTTGTTCCAGTTGAAACAGTGTAGATTGACCGTGAGGTTCTGGTGCCTATCCACTATTGGCCACCCCTCAGTGTTCATTGGTTATTGCTTGGCCACATTTATAAAAAATCTCTGGCTACGCCTCTGCTGTTTAAAGATGCAACCTGTGGCCAAAACCCAGAATTGCAGCACTCATACTCGTCGCTGCTCATACTCGTCACTCAAACTTAACTAGTATTGTTATTATTTTCTTTTTTTACCCTACATGGAGTTGCCATTTCACAGTATCCATAAAACCCATCTTGTATAATGCTTTGACATTTGACAGGTCGGACACATTTAAAGCATTTGACGTCCCGAAGTAACTCCTGGAAAATAGGCTACAGGCTTATAGATGCATCAGCACTGAACTACAAAATCAGTCAGCTCATCAAACCATGTTTTAATCACAAAGGGTCAAATTAAAAAAGTATATTTTAACAATATTAATTTTTTCAGTGAAAACTTACATGATTCTTTAAAGCTCAGTTTCACAAAAAATGAAGCAAAAAAGATTAAATCATTACTTATTTAACTAACACCACCATGCCATATCCAACCACTGATCTCTATTCATAGGCAGCTGGTAGTTCACATTGCTATGAGATCACCAGCTGCCCTATTGATACTTCCTAGTTATAACCAGTTGGAATGTAAACAATACGTGCGCTTCAGTATTAACAACAATAATTTGCTCATTTTCAGTGGTGATAAATTCATCACTTTGACACACACTTTCCATTTAAGGTATAAAAAAAAACCCCAGGCATCATCACATTGCATAGTCCATGAAGTCTATAAATCAGGTAATAAAACATATTATAAAAATCCATCACAACAAAACCACTGTGTTAATGGAGCATAATAATACTGTACTTGGATATTAAAAATATATTTATATATATGGGTAAAATTTGGCTTCAGCCAAATGCTACACATGTCGGCATGTTTATGGTGTGACTTGTGAGAGCAGGGAGTACCAAGATGGCGGCAAGTGACTTCAGGTTTTCGTTCAATCTGATATCCGGAGAATAAATAGAGATCAGTGTATTCAACCAACAAACATGAGCCAAGTGGAGAGTTTTTATTACATGTATCCTAAAAGGTTTTAAAAATCATGCCGATCTGAATATACTTAAAAAACAATACAACCATTTTTGCATCTACTAAATCTTATTTAGTTACTTTAACACAATTGTATTATATCCTGCCCTGATATCATGAAAACATTGGGTTAATGTAACTAAATATAATTAGGTAGATGTAAAAAATAGTTAAATAGTATGTTCTATGGGGATAAAAAAAACGACAGGGAAAATTTATAAAAACAATAAAGAAAAACATTAAGTTTTATGAAGAAAAATCTTAAGCTTCATTAATTTATTTAATATAAACTTAGGAAAAATACTTTAACTTAAAATCATTAAATTAAAAATCAAATAATAATAAAAACTAAAACCTGGCCAGGCTTACCCAAGTAGAACTGATTTGGGAAACTACCCCAAAACTAACTAAATCTGGGAAAGTTACAATTGATTGTGCTTAAAAGAAAAATTTATTTGTGAACAAACACACACAGAGAAAACAAATAATAATTCAACTAGAAGTGTCAGATACACATACAACAACCCTTCTACAGATTATTATTTGCACTTCAGTAAATTTGCCATTTTTTTCCAAATCTTAATCGTTAAAAAATGTTTAAAAAAATAATTTAAGTTATTTAAGTTGAAGCAACCAAATTAAATTTAACAGTTTTTTCATTCTTATTTTACAGATACAAACTGTCTATATCCATGGCATTGGCTATATTATCTATATTATCTATGTGGGGCCCTGAGGGTTTGGAAGCCCTAAGCTAATGGGATTGACAAACAGGAAAGCAGAAGTACCAACATGTCCTAGACCAATTTTTTTTTTTTATAACTCACACGTGTGCTAAAATCATGTCCGACAGGAAAGACATCAGCAATGACCTTACAGAGGAAAACAGCACCTGCATGAAGTCATGCGTAACGTGACCCTGGTGCCAGTCTGCAGGTCACAGTATTCTGACTCTGGGCCTTTATAATGGACTTAGCTTCATGCTAAGCTAGTAGATTTCCTCCTCTTCTCCAGTCAGGCTCCTTTTGTGGGGAAATTTACAAACTCCTAACTAACCTCAGGAACTTTGATGCATGTATTTTCTTCTCATGTTGATATTTCCCACCTGATTGCTCTGAATAAAGGCCTAAGGAGAAAAACTGATCTTAAAAATGTTAAAAGACATGATCACATTCAAATAATGTTTGTTACAATTAGCAGTGATTAATCCAAATGTGATCAGCAATTCCATAAATAGCATTTTGATATTATGGGAATTGCCAAGTGTTACAATAAGGA